TAATTTTATATGTATATTAATGATACCTTACTGGAATTATCCGAGGTTTTTATAACACGACTAGCAGTAGAGCCCGGCGTTGCCCGGAGATGTAACAGTAAGAGATAGATTAAGTATCGACCATCATAAAGACTGAAAAATAAAATTGACAAAGATCATTGTTTAAGGTTGACGGACACGCATGTCTTAATTATTTTTTTGTTTTGTTTTGTTTTTTTTGTTTTTTTTATGAATTGGTCAAACTCAAACAAAAACATTGTTTTCAATCGTTATGAGTCTACCGATTGAATAGAATTTTATTATAAACAAATTGTCTTGTAAATGGAATTTTTAAAGCATTCTGAATGTAAAAATAAAGAAAAAAAGTGTGCAAGACAATAAGAAACACTACCTGCCAAAAAAAGTGAAGTTTTGTTGAAATCAGTTGAAAAATGTAGGAAATCCAATATCATATATAAACGAATACACACATACACACACACACTGGGTTTTATAATAAGTATAACTCGATATAAGTTGTGCCTCTTTCATTCTCGCGATAGCGATGCCTCTTAATCGTGTTTTCAAATTGATTTCATGCAAAAACAATTGTTTTTCCAATTTTTGACACTGTCAGAACCACTGCACGGTAATTTTACGTAGTCCTGTGAAGTTTTGTTGAAATCGGTTGAAAAATGTAGGAAATCCGATCCAATATATAAACGAACAGACACACACACACACAACCTGGGTTTTATAATAAGTATGATTGGACTTTACTTTGAGCAAGAAGAATGTATAATTATTCTCTAAGATTAACAGAAGTATCGTGATTAAATCGATCATAAATGAAAATGAATTATTAATTAATCATAGCTAAGGATCGGAAGCTCATGAAGTATTGAAATGAAGTTCATATATATATATATATATATATATATATATATATATATATCAGGTCATCCCATAAGTTGTGTCCGAATTTTGAATAAAGAAAACAAGTGACCAAATGTTACATTTAATTACAGATTCAATCAACAATGTATTTTCCCTGATTATCTATAACTTCCTTCCAGCTTACTAATTCCATTACTGTAAAATTCTCTTGCCTTTGATTCGAACAACTCACAAATGTCAGTTTTAACCTCTTCCTGTGTTACAAAAGCTGTTTCTTCCAAATGATTCTGTAAATTACGAAACAAATGGTAGTCTGAAGGAGCAAGATCGGGAGAATAAGGTGGATGAAAAATTTTCTCCCAACCAAGTTCTTCGATCTTTTGTGACGTGATTCTTGCTGTCTGGGGTCGTGCATTGTCCTGATGAAACATCACCTCTTTCCTATTCACTAGAGCAGGTCTTTTTTCCCTCAAAAGCTTGGTTTAAACGCTCTAATTTCTGACAGTATATTTGAGCATTAATTGTTGCATTAGGTGGTAAGAATTCAAAGTGGATTATTCCTTGGCGATTCCACCAGATTGAAAGAAGAACCTTTTGCTCATGAAGTTCCCTTCTCGGCTGTGGCTGGGGTCCTTCCCCTTTATCAAGCCACTGTCTACGACGCTTAACATTTCGATAAAAAGATCCATTTTTCGTCGCCAGTCACAAATCTATCAAAAAAGGTGAAACAAGTTGGCGAGAATGGAGAGAAGAGCAGATGTCAACTCGGGATCTGAGATTGTTTTCAGACAATTCATGAGGCACCCATTTTCCAAGTTTAGGAACTTTTCCAAGTTGTTGAAGACGACGATGAACAGTTGTATGGTTTGAACTGAGAACCACTGCCAATTCCTCGACTGATAAAACAGGATTTTTTTCAAGGGCTGCTTCAAGAAGCTTTTCATCAAACTCAACTGGACGTCCGGTTCGATCTTCATCTTCAAGGGTGAAATCTCCACCTCTGAATTTTGAAAACCATCTTCTGCAAGTTCTTTCATTCATACATTCCTCTCCATAAACTGAGTGAATGTTTCTAGCCGCTTCGGCTGCTGAGTTTCCTTTCTTGAACTCATAAAGCATTATGTGCCTCAAATGATTCTTGGGTACTTCCATGTTAGCAGGGTTTTAATCAAACAAAATTTAATTTTATTGTTCTCTGAAATAAAATTTGATCTGTTTAAATGCATCTAAACATAAAAATAATGTTCAGCTCCATTAGACATTATAATATTTTTAAATTTCGTTCATTTTAACAAAAAGTTAAAATTCGGACAGAACTTATGGGATGACCTGATATATATATATATATATATATATATATATATATATATATATATATATAATTCCAGGATCATTTTCCAACTTATTGAAGTTGATCTTCGCCCTCTATAATCTTTTTACTTTCTGCCCTGAAGTAACAACAGGTTTCACGTACGATTTCATTTTCAACTCTTTTTCACTGCTCTTTGGACTGTCATAGCTGAAATTCCTCTCTCATTTACCAAACATCTTATGAATTGATTTGGATCTTTTCTAATTGATATCTTTATCTCTAAGTTGAAATAATGATCCCTCTTCCTGATGTCACATCATCATCCAGTTTTCCTTTCTCCTGTTCCCTCTTTTTAAAACTTATTCACCGTTCTCTTGATGGTTCTTGAATGGTCTTTGAAGATGGAAGCCAGAGTATGAACGTTGGTACCATTACTGAAGGCCTGAATGATCTTTTTGCTTAGTTGGGAAAAACATAGTGGAGCTGACTCAAAACGATTTTAACACATTCTCTTTCTAGGTGAATAACTGAAATGATTTTTCAGTGATTTTTACGACAAATGGCGTCAAGATGGCTAAACGTCTTATTTGAAAACCTGAGGAAAAGAAAATCAATTAGTTTAGTAGTGTTTTAGACATTAAACAATTTGTTGGGTGGACAATTATCGCTTGCTGTTACACGATTTGCACAATTTTGCTATTACACACGGTATATCTATCTATCTATCTATCTTTCTATCTATCTATCTATCTATCTATCTCTCTCTCTCTCTCTATATATATATATATATATATATATATATATATATATATATATATATATATTTTGAACCACTGTATCTTAGAAATGATTAATAATATCTTGCTCGAATTCTCCGATGTTTTAATAATACTATTAGACAATAAGAATTTATTCAGCTCTAACTTCATCCAGTTTTTCTCTCTACTGTTCCCTCTTTTAAAAACTTATTCACCCTTCTCTTGATGGTTCTTGAATGGACTTTGAAGATGGAAGCCAGAGTATGAACGTTGATATAATTACTGAAGACCTGAATGAGCTTTTTCCTCTTACCATTGCTCAATTAGGAAGACAGTGGGTCTGAGACAAAACAATTTTAACCTGCTCTCTTTTTAGCTGAATAACTCAAATGGTTCTTCAGTGATTATAACGAAAAATGGTGTCACGATGGCTAAACGACTTATCTGAAAACCTGGAAAAAAGAAACTCAGTTTTGTGGGGTTTTTTGTTTTGTTTTTTTTTAGATATTAAATATTTTCTGGGATGGACAATTATGCTGTTACATGATTAGGATAATTTTGCTGTTACACTCGGTATATTTATTATTTACACTATTTATAGCGTCCTGATTAAGACGTTAAACTACATCCGCGTCCTGGGTAAGACGTTAAACTACGTCCAGCAGCAAGGCCTCTGATCAGGAGGTTTTAAGGAGCCTGCAACCACCTTTTAATTGCTGGTGCTTCTAGCTCCACCCTGACCCGGGGTGGTAGCATCTGTTAGGGTCCCGGTTATGGGCAAATAATTAACTATTACCAGAACTACTTTTTTGAAAAAAATTATTACCAGCAATAATATTTTTAAGGAAAAATATTACCAGAAACAGATTATTTGACAAAACAAAATATTACCAGCAATAAAAAATTTTGTCGGCATTAAATAAGCCATTGAGGTTCATATGCCGTAAAACAAAATAAACCAAACTATTTATATTCGGACTATTGTCCTTGTTTGTGCTGTTGTTTTCTTCATTTTTGTTGTTATCACAGCGTTTCAGCTGTTATGCTCTCCGGTCTATATCAGGTGTATATTGATTTAGGTAACCTATAGGGAATTCTGAACTTAAACTTTTATTTAATCGACTGAGTAAAATGTCCTTGTTCCACTGCATATCTAGTCTCGTTATTATTTTTAGTATTGCTCATTTATTGCTCGCCTGTTTCCACTAAGTCCAAGTACTCACTGCCGGACGTAAGGATTTCTTGTTTTGATGGGGTATATAATAGTTGGAGAAGATCGGACCAAGAGGTGACTCCATTGCGGTTCATTTATTCTGCGTGTAATTATTACCAAGGCGATTGTAAAAGAAAACTTTATAAAAACTTTATAGAAATAAAAATTTACAGAGAATAGTCTGCTTGTTATTTGGCGGTATTGTTGAAGCTTGGATAAGCATGGAATAATAATAATACAACACAAAATGTACGTAAACAAAATGTATTGAAACAAGGAAAAGGTACACAATATTTACAGTTAGTTTTGGTATATTCTTGGGAAGACTGTTCCTGTAGAATGGGTTGACTTAATCGCAGTCGGGCAGAGTCTCTGGATTGGATCTCTTGTTACTTCCCCCGTCTTCCCGGTACCAACCCATATTTATATGGTCGGTACTCCACTATGTAAATTAGGTGGATCGTACCACAACAGGTATAAAAGATAAAACTTTTATATATTATATTTATTGTTTCTTTTACGGGGATTTTAGTGAAAATATTTTCAGAATCTAACATGCATTGTGCAAAATCTTTAGGAATTTATTTGTGGAATTGATTTCATATTTGTCTGATATGTATGGTAGTATGGTCTGATTGTTTTGGATATAAAACTAGAAAAGGAATTTGGAAAACAACAGATATGTAAGGAGAACCGGGTTTATATATTTTACTTTAGCATATACGAATTTGACTTGTAATCTCCAATTTTTTTTTCTTCAGTTCCACGAATCCTATTTCTGAATTATTAGCACTGATGACTTTGTGCAAATATCTTTTGAGATGGGTTGTAGTGTTTTGAAATGTTTTATAGATTCGGTATAATTTAGAAGTTTAGAATTAAAATCAAAATTGTTCTTGTTTAATATTAAATAAATGTTAGTTTTATCTCCGAGTCAACATGTGTTACTCTCAAAGCGTCCCTCATATATATATATATATATATATATATATAGAGAGAGAGAGAGAGAGAGAGAGAGAGAGAGAGAGAGAGAGAGAGAGAGGGAGTAAAGAAAGATTATGCGCGTATGCTTCTTATATAATGTAGATAGGGATCTCAACTTTTCGCTGAAAAAACAACATAGCATGGGAAAAAAGGTCCCAAACTTAATAAAAACAAAGTTTTATCGTCAAAATGTTTATGTTATTAATAGGCAAGACCAAAGCTTTTTTTTATTATTTTATTAAAATTTTTAATCCTTTCTCGCACGTTCAAAATTTTGGTTGAAAATCTTTTTTTCTTTTTTTTTTTTGCATTAGTGGCCGACGTTATATTTACAACTAACAGTAGAGCCCGGCGTTGCCCGGGGATGTAACAGTAAGAGATAGATCAAGTATCGACCATCATAAAGACTGAAAAATAAAATTGACAAAGATTATTGTTTAAGGTTGACGGACACGCATGTCTTAATTAGTTTTTTTTTTTGTTTTGTTTGTTTTTTTGTTTTTTGTTTTTTTACGAATTGGTCAAACTCAAACAAAAACATTGTTTTCAATCGTTATAAGTCTACCAATTGAATAGAATTTTATTATAAATAATTGTCTTGTAAATGGAATTTTTAAAGCATTCTGAATGTAAAAATAAAGAAAAAAGTGTGCAAGACAATAAGAAACACTACCTGCCAAAAAAAAAGTGAAGTTTTGTTGAAATAGGTTGAAAAATGTAGGAAATCCGATCCCATATATAAACGAACATACACACACACAAACAACCTGGGTTTTATAATAAGTATAACACGATATGAGTTGTCCCCCTTTCATTCCGCGAAAGCGATGCCTCTTAATCGTGTTTTCACCTTGATTTCGTGCAAAAACACTTGTGTTTTTCCAATTTTTGGTGCTGTCAGAACCACCGCAAGGTAATTTTACGTAGTCCTGTGAAGTTTTGTTGAAATCGGTTGAAAAAATGTAGGAAATCCGATCCAATATATAAACGTACAGACACACACACACAGACACACACAATCTGGGTTTTATAATAAGTATGATTACTGTTTTTAGCGCTTTTTTCAAGTGAAAAACATTGATTTGGAAATTCTTGCAAAAATCAAATAATTGTTTTTAATGAAACTTTCAGGACTGATTGCAAAATGAATGAAATTATTTTTTGAATTTTTTTAGAAAATCTCCCCCCCCCCTACACACACTTACTTAATCTTATGAAATTTCGAGAAATTAAATTTTTATCCGAAATCTTTAGTTAAAGCCAGGACCCTTTAGAGAATGTAAATCCTCATTTTTTTTTCAAACTTCTACTAATTTCCCTAAAATCTGCTCCGAATCTTAAAATAAAAAATGCAATTAGACTGACATTATCTCATTAGAAAGTCTTTTAATTCATTGTGGAATTCACTTGACTCACTTCTAGCAGTTGACTACTACTTCTACGCGCCGCTGGCGAATCTTATATGTGTTGTTCTTGTCCTAAGTATTATCATGCATTACCAACCTTCGTGTGATTATTCTATTCAGTAACTTTCCCTAGGTTACAACAATTATAAATTATTATTATTTTTTTTTAACTCTCGAATTTATCTCATCGACCTACTCTATCTATCTATCTATCTATCTATTCATTTGTTTTTATCTATCTATCTATCTATCTATCTATCTATCTATCCAGGGTGTTTCACAATTGTTGAAACAAAGCAGCGGCCTCCCAGATGGGGAAAGCTCGAGAAGAGTGAGGACGTTGATGAGGAGGAATAGTGGTTTCTGCAGGGTGGGGCTCCTTCTCACACTGTTAATGTTACCATGGCGTGACTCCTTGAAAATTTTGGGGAGTGTCTCATCAGCCGCAAAGCTGAAGTGGAATGGGCACCTGATTCGCCTGACCTAAACCCACAGATTTCTTCCTCGGGGTGAGGGGGGGGGTTCCTCAAGCAAAACATCTACCAGGGCAACCCTCGCTGCATTGCTGCACTGAAGGCAGCCATCATTGAGAAGATTCAAGCCATCACCCAGAAGGAACATGCACATGTTATCAGCAACTTTGCAATCAACAGTGCCTTCAACTGAACGACGGACATCTTGAGCATGTAATCTAGAGATCCGCTTGACATTTTGGGGTCATGTTTGAAACTAAATGGTTGTAGATCCTATAATGTTATCCTTTTACATTTCAATGAATGTAATTTCCATTACTCCATCATCTGCGGTCCTTGATTTGTGTCCAATCTTATCAAGGCAAATTATATTTATTTCGGCAAAACAGGGGGATGGGGAAAGCTGGTTATAAATCTGTCTTATCTTAAACTTAGCACGGCACAAACATTGACCCAAATAAACTATACAATATCCCTTGCACCAAAACACCACATTCTTACTTACCATTATTACTACAGCCACCATAATACCTCAAAGTATCTATAAAGTCTTAAATAGTCCACATATGTACAATTTGCATGGCGGGGGATAAAATTACAACTTTTAAAAATGAAACCTCGATGAATATTTACAATATGTTTAGTACTATAGACAAACAACTAAACAAAATGGTATTAGTAATAAAATGACAACTTTATCAAGGTAAATGCAAGGATATTATTTTCTAACAAGTATTTATATACAAGAGCAAAAATGTTATTGGTTTTTAAATTTTTTTTTTTAAGTTTAGGGACGCTCATAAATATTCATCAGATTAGCTGAAAAGTCAGGCAAGCCTATGGAAGACACGACGTGACACAATTCAATGTTTAATAAACGAAAGTGAAGAATTGTTATTTTTTAGTTTATTTTTATGCAAATTAGTATTTAAATTATTTTTGTTTGGGATTAACTTGTGTTATATATTTTGAATAACATGAGTTTAAGGAGTTAATCGTTTTCTTTCAATTTTTTTAACATTTTTGTAGTCATTTATCTTAGTTTGTGCTAGAAGTAATTCTTTCAGCAATAAAGTGTGTGTGCGTGAGTCTATATGTGTGTGTGTGTGTGTGTGTGTGTGTGTGTGTGTGTGTGTGTGTGTGTGTGTGTGTGTGTGTGTGTGTGGCACACGTCGGCTAATGTAGTGGTTTCCTGATAGAAAAAGTGAAAACATTTTTGATTCCTGTCGGGAAGCATTTTTTCTTCAGCAAGGTCTCCCTATATCTCGGCCGGTTGACATTAATTTCGCCATTTAAACTAACATAGATGTGAACTCAAACAAGTGTAGCCAATAAAAATAACCATTCTAGTAATAAGAAGCATCAGGAGATAGTAGATATGAAAAAAAATTTTCAAAATCGTCGGCTTTCTTGCGAACGTCTGTGTATGATTTTTAGATAGCGATGCATGCTACAATATAGGTTCATTACGTTGAAAGAGTGCAGAGGCCTGTGCGTGTCATCATGCGACGGAGGTGCACGCTTGCTTCTTTTGTTCAATTAGAGCCGTGTTTGTGTGCCTTCGAGAGTCTTGGTGCTCATTTCGAAGAATTTCTGTGGGTTTTTGGTGTGTGAAATGTCGCTGGTTCTTCGAAGTGCGCAACAGTGATCAAATGAAAATTCCTAGGCCCGTAGACCGGCTTCTGGATGGTCACCTACGGCAAATGATCGCTAAGACCGATGCATGACAAAAACAGCAGTAACAGACAGCGTGAGGTCCATAGCACAGATCAAAGTAAATGTAACCCTAGAAGTATCGGCTTACGGCCACATCACGTTAAAACACCGGTTGCCGTAAAATCAATGAAGTTAAGCAACGTCGAGTTTGCTCCGTACCAAAGATGGGTGACTGCTTAGGAATACAAAGTGCTGTAAGCTTGGATATGCGGGAGGTGTAATATAAAATCGCTCGGAATTGTTAATCAGAGAGCTATGTTCCAATTCCTGTGGGGATAGTTATATTCACTTACACGCAAATACTCTTAGGAGAGGTATGAATCCACCATTTCTCCCTCTAGCTATGGGTTAATTCGCAAAACTTGTATCACTAAACCATTATTATCTCAAAAAAATTCTTTAAAGCTAAAGATATTTCCTAGCTTGAAATAACCTTCAATGTGTTGCTACAAAAAAGTAACTTAGAGAATCGAGTCGTTCACTGTTGTATTCGATGATCATATCAGATTCTGCCTGCATTCAAATAATGGTCGTTTGCTTGTGTGGCATAAATCTAAGAATAACATCTCCCAGGGGGTATACGCCCATGCGAGACATACCCAACACCTGGCATCGTAGTTAAGGTGTCATATGCTAAAATTCTCACTCAGCTTTGGTGTTTGTGAAGAAAACATTAAACAGTGTCATTTAAGGTCTGGCGAATCTTCAGAGTGAAACTCAAGTAACTTTAGTTTTCTTTCTTTTTATTTTTATTATATTTTATATATTATACTTATTATATTTTATAGGTTCTACTTTTTATTGAGCACTTTTTATTAGCAGTTTCACTATAGTTGTATCTTACCAGTTACCATTGTATTTCGTGATATATATATATATATATATATATTACGATAAACGTGCAATCAATTTACAAATTCATGAATTATTCACACAAAAACAAAAAGCAAAGGTTAATGATTTAATTGGCGAGAAATCCATCATCGCAAACAATTCAAATAATATACAAAAACCTCCGAATCCGTTATGAATGAATTGATCCTTGTTTCCATAAATTTCTGCCGTATTAGTTCTTATTTTTACTACAAGCCAATTAAATCATTAACCTTTGCTTTTGTTTTTGTGTGAATAATTCATGAATATATATATATATATATATATATATATATGATATATTTTTGTTTAAACATATGATTCCTTCGCTACATAAGAGTTCTCATGTTTCAAAAACGTGAGCCGAAACCATCCAAATAATTATTAAAATAAAATTTCGCTTGAAGATGAAACGGGACTAAACACCTCAATTCAACTTAATTATAATAATTATTTGGATGGTTTCGTCTCTCGTTTTTGAAACATGAGAACTCTTATGTAGCGAAGGAATCATATTTTTAAAAAAAAATATTATTATAATAAAGCTCTACTTCTGTATGGAGCACTCTCTTCTTAAAAATAAAAACAAAAATACTAAGGAACTCCGGATTATGCACCCAACGTGTTCTTTTCTATTTTCTGCATACATATAGTGATGAGTATTCGGAAAGAGTTGGATGAGTCTAATGGTGACTGCGTAGGTCTTTAGAGTGATCACTAATGATGTTGACGTTATGCCTCCAGTCATCTTCCCTCATGGTCTCATACTCAACACGGAGGTCTACAGCAATTGCCTTGAGGATGTAGTGCTGTCCTGGCTGAAGGGTGACTGCTGGAAGACCCTATGTTTGGTAACAGAACTCTGCACCATGCCACACAACCAAGAGAACCCAGTCATGCTTGTCAGACAATTTCTCCGACCACATCATTATTTACATCTGGCCACCTAACTCTCCAGATGGCAACTCCCTTGATTATTATGCGTGGGACACACAAAACTCATTGTAACACTAAAGATGAACTGAAGGATTATGGCGTCCAAAAGAGTTGCAGGAGATTCCGAATTCGTCTGCAAGCCGTTGTTGAAGCCAATGGCAATTTTATTGAATAAATTTACTCTTTAGTATTTCAAGATATTTTTGTGTCATTTTCGTATATATATATGTTAAAATGAGATGTCAGTGTTATTTTCATTTTTGCGTAATTTACACGATAATTTATCCATCGCACCCTATATATATATATATATATATATATATATATATATATATATATATATATATATATATATATATGACAAAATTTTCAGAGTTAGCCTGTAGAAAAAAAGTCAATAAGTATAAAGGTAAAAAACACAATAGGTCCACATTGGACCAAACGCGTCGGCTAATAATACAGTTTTCTTGTCTTTTACCTTCATATATATATATATATATATATATATATATATATAAACGATGTTAGTAGTACTTTTTCTGCTAAGCTGAATAAAACAATGAAATTGTGTGACTTTGTAAAAAGATATTAATATTTATTGTTTCTTTTCTTTATAATTTTCTTACTCTTGCTGAAATTTATTAATACAGTCTACTAGCTTTTATACACACAGAGACACACAAACACACACAAACACACACACACACAACTCAGGAAAAAAATCTCCGACTGATACCAAATTGGTTGGGTTTCGATCCTATGTGTGTGAACAGTAATGACTAACAAGATACTTCTGCTAATTTATTTTTTGTGTTTTTCTTGTGTGCAAACAAGAGATTTCTTTTTTTAACACTGTGTGTAGAAACTGTCCAAATGATTGTTCGCATCGAACTCATTTGACTAATAATCTATTAGTCTTTTTCAAAAACTTTGCTTTTGCAATCGTAAATAGTTCTGATGAAAAGAGCACGCAGCAGAATTAGATTGGCGATAGAACAAGAACAGTGCGATTTCGTTAAAGACACTGGAACAAAGAATGTAATTTTTTATGTCCATAATGATATCAGAAAAAGCCATGCAAATGCTAAAGTATGTGTACCTATGTTTTATAGTTTATGCAAAAGTGTTTGGCAAGGTACATCACAAAGAACTGTTCGAACTGATAGGTAAGCTTAATTTATTTGGAAATGATATCAAAATAATATATAACGTATACAAATCAAGCCGCCTGCATGCAGATAGGAAATTCACAAAACAGAATGGGGCGTAAGACAAG